AGGGGTATCATAGTAATCAACCAGCGTGAGAGTTAACGTGAGCACGACACCTAAGAAAGTGACTTCTCAAATAATATTATAGAGATTAGATTAACCGCACTCTCTTTTTCTAATTCCTTTTTTGTCATGTTTTGTTTCAAATAAGCTTGAATTCTAATTTTTTGCTATATAAAATTGTAAACAAAGTTGGATATCATTTATTGTAACATTTTTTGCTAATTCTAATTTATTGTAACATTTTTAGATATCATTGTGATGTGTTTACTTTTTTCCCACGAGAATATAGCTTTGCATTTGAGAATTATTTAATGTTTCTGATAATAGTACTCTGCCAACCAGACTCTGAATTTCCATTCCTTTGTGAAAAACCAAGTTACAAAATATAAGTACTTTTCTTAGAATCTTCAACTTAAACTTATGCAGATGAAATCATAGAAACTTTCTTCTTTTTCGTATAGAGAAGAATGCATTAGAATAAAGATCTTTCTCATACTCAAAACTCAAATAAAAAACAAAGATGAATCTATAGAGAAGAAGATGAGAGGAAAACAATACATAATAACAATGGATCGAAAGTTATATATAAGATGAAACAATTAAGATTGAGAGTTGTTGAATTCTAAAACGTGTTGTAATGATTTTTCGAGAAAAAAATAGGATTTTTTTAATAGTTACATAAACATTCAAATCGAAGGAACGTGATGCAATTTTGATTTTTAATTTTTTGTACACATGTCAAATTTTGATTGCACAAGTGATTTGTGCTTTAGTATATAAGAGATGTTCTCATACCTTGATTTCTATGTAACCATTTTTTTGTTGCGAATCATTTTTTATCTAGTGTTTTTTGATCACATCTGTTGTTATGTTAGGTAATTTTTGGTGTAATGTTATAGGAAGGAGATCCATTCAGGATGAAATGGTTTCCTGTGAACGTTATGCAAATATCTTATTAAAGAAAATAAAAGATATCCCTAAAACTTACAATTTATTTACAAATCAATATCATTGAAATACTAAATAACCCTAATTTTAAATAATTTTATATTTTACAATTATTACGTCATTTCTTAAAATAATTATAATTAACAAATAGTTAGACATCAATAAAATAAAATCAACACTATATTTATTTCGTAGGTTTTAACAATATCACAATAAACAAAGTACTCTAAAATTAAAATTAAAAATTATTGCGGCTAAAATCGTGCCTTTTATTGTTTTTGTATATTTTTGTATAAATAATATTTTTAATGTAAATTCAACATTATAAATGTAAAGTAGTATAAAATATATAGAAAAATATTTTAAATAGTACTAAAATTAAATATTTAAGTGAGATGATAGGAAATAAAATATTCTTATAATTAAGCCTAATGTAAAAATCAATTAAAATCCACATAAAATAAAAATAAAATTATAATTCGGCTTAAAAGTTATTCAACAAATTATAGAATGACAAGTGTCAACTTTTGATCCTTATGAAGAAAAAAAGTCAACTTTATTATTAAAAATATTGCATATTATCAAAATTAAAATAACTTGTATTCGAAAAATTAATTTTGTAATTTATAAACTTTTCAAATTTTAGTAAGCCATTTTAGTATTTTAACTTTTAAACTTAAATCAATAAAGTCTCATACTTTCGATGACTAAGCTATTTTAGACACGTCAAAAGTCAACGTTAACTATTAACTAACGGAGTTAGCCATTTGACTTTTAACATATCTAAAATTGCTTGTTCAATGATGCTAATATGTGATTTTTCGTGTTTAACCAATAATTAATGTATAAAATGATTTTTTGTGAATTCATGGTTTTTATGGTTTAAATTTGAAATTTCAGTGGTTGTTTTTTTTTTTGAGCAATTTTGCTATAAACCAAAGGAAGAGTTCGATATTAGGAGAATGCCAAATTGCTGACAACATGGCTTCACGTGGCAAAGGAAGAGGTGTTAAAAAGACCAAAATATTCGTTTAGATTTGGAAAGATCATAAAATGATTTGGGTTAGATTTGCTAAACTTATCTTTTTCTTTTCCTTTAATCTTTTTCTCTGTTTTTTTTCCTACTAAATGTAAACAAAAATGAAGATCATAAAATCTGAAGAAGATCATGAGTTAATCTGGTTATTTCTCCATGAGTTCATGAAGCATTCTAATTCTTCAACTTCTTTGTCTTTCATCTTTTTACATTCTAGAGATTCCTCGGATTACACATCTAGTTTAGCTGCCTAACAAACATGTGTTAGACATCTATTACATTTATTAACCAGATACTACAACTCTGTGGATGTAGACATTATAAAAATAATAAGTGAAGAAATTATTTTGCCGGCTAAAGTGACTATATTTTCTGTCTAATATGTTGTCAAACTAGGTAAATGTTTTTATTCAAATTAAAAAATAGTTTTTCGAACACCTATGCAAACACAAAAATATGGCTCTGTAAATGAAAAAATAGTTTAACCGGCTAACAAACATGTGTTGCACATCTATTAGATTTATTAACTACTTACTAAGACTTTGTTGATATATCCGGCTAACAAACATGTGTTACACATCTATTAGATTTATTAACCAGATACTAAAACTTTGTGGATGTAAAAATTATAAAAATAATAAGTTAAGAAATTATGTTTCAGGCTAACTTGACTATATTTCTTGTCTAATATGTTGTCAAATTAAGAAAACATTTTCTTCAAATTAAAAAATATAGTTTTTCGAACACCTATGTGAACACAAAAAATTGACTCTTTAAGTGAAAAAATAGTTTACTCGGCTAACATACATGTGTTGCACATCTATTATATTTATTAACCAGTTAGCAAGACTTTGTTGATATAAACATTATAAAAATAATAAGTTAATAAATTATGTTTCTGGCAAATTTAACTTTACAAACTAAACCCTAAAAACTAAACCCTAATACTAACCCATAAACTGTAAACCCTAAACCCTAACCAATAAACAGTAACACCTAAACCCTTAACCAACAATATCAAATAAAACCATATCCATTACCAAATTGTAAACAAACAGTTACTAAAATCTACTTGAACGGTAAACAACATACATGGACGGTCAATATATACTTAGGATGTTAAAATTAATTCATAATTGGCTATATAGTATGTCTGACACTATAACACGTGTTAGTTAACTAGCCGAAACTGTTTTATAGTAGGAGTCATCCCTATATATCATAAGTTCACAAATAATAGTAGCTGGCTACAACGATTATGAGTATGTAAAGAAAAAATTTAGATGTCCTACGGTTGTGTAAGGTAACATCATACAACAGTTTCTCGGCTATCTCAATCAATTTCCCGAAGGGTGAATCTCGTATCTCTTCAACTTCATCGGGGTGAAGTGCATTGACGACTTGCTTGATTCCGTCAGCCTTGTGGTACAGAGTGACCTTGACGCCGGTGGGTTCTTCTCCGACGGCGAATATCCTCTCGGGGAGTGAGTCTTCATAATCCTCCATACGCTGATTTGGTTTGAGAAAGAGCAATTGGGGATCTTGAGAAACGATGAACTATGAGTTGATATATGAAACTACTTTCATTTGAAATTAGTTAGTTTCTTTGTTCACTTCTCCGAAACCACCGACAGAAAAGATATGATAATATTTTACGTATTTCTCACTCCTCCAATTTCAGCTCTATAGTCTGCCCGTTTTTTGGTTTGGTCAAGTGAGAAGGGCAATAGGATAAGGGTAACAGAGTAAAATCGCAATAGTGAACAGTAGACAATTTCCTTCTTTTTGGTATTTTGTAAATATCGTTAAACTGTTTTGGTAGGAGCGCAAATTTCTCTTATTTTTTTTGGACTTATTCTTGGATTCACCCCTAGGGTGAACCTAGAGGTTCATCAACCAATAGGGTAGTATTATTTCATATTTGATATCTTTTTAAAAAGGAAACAAAATCTTGTCAAGTTATATTATGTTTTTAAAATAAAAATAGAAAAAGATAAATAAAAATATTAATATTTACAAAAAACAAAAAAAAATCTTTAAAAAAATTAGTTTAACATTATATTATGTTTTAAAATAAATGATAAAAATAAAATAAAAACAGTAATAATTGCAGTAAACAATTTAAAACAAAAAATATTTTGATATATCTTTAAAATAAAAACATTTGTTTAAAATAAAAAGATAAAAATAAATAAAAAAAGTATAATTGGTTAGTATTAATTTACCCAAGGGTTAAGATTTTTTCAAAGGGTTTATGATTTACCCAAGGGTTTAGGGTTTAAGATTAGGGTTTAATATAAGGGTTTAAAGTTTAGGATTAGAGTTTAGGGTTTAGTGTTTTAGTGTTAAATATGTTTTAAAAAAGTTTTTTTTTTTTGTTTTTTTAATATTATTATTTTTTATTTGTTTTTTTATATTTTTGTTTAAAAACATAATATAACTTAATAAGATTTTATTTCCTTTTAAAAAATATATCAAATATAAAATAACATCATCCTATTGGTTGCTGAATCTAGTTTGAACCTAAGAATAACTCTTTTTTTTGTCAATTTTTCCTCTTTATTGTAAATTTTCGCATTAGAAAATGGCGTCGTCGGGTTGTGGAAGCTCCTTTGGTCCAGTGGTTTGATTAAGGGTTCATTAATGTTTCTACACTTGGAGGTCTGGGGTTCAAACCCCAGAAAAAAAAACAAATTATGCAGATTATGGAGAAACAAGTTACAAGAGATCTTCCGCTTGGTGCAGGGCGTACCATCGAACATGGATCTCATAGGACGGCTCGGAGTGATGCAGTCAGACGTGTATTCTCACGTACCATCGAACATGGATCTCATAGGACGGCTCGGAGTGATGCAGTCAGACGTGTATTCTCACGTACCATCGAACATGGATCTCATAGGACGGCTCGGAGTGATGCAGTCAGACGTGTATTCTCACAAGATGGTAGAATTGTCGGCTGTAAAATCGTCTATGTAATATTCTCATCGTTGTAATAGCATAATTAATCAGAAGTTAAAAAAAAAAACGGCGTCGTCATGCCTTAGGCCTAAACAGTAGGTTGTGTGTTTGGCGTTAATTATCTCGCCGCCGGAACAGAGAAAGGAAAGTAGATTTCTTCTCCTCCTCGGATCACAAACGGAGCATTTAGGGATCGTGGCCGAGAGATCGAAGATTGTGAAAAATCTTGCCTATTGGAGTTGATGGCATCAGAGGAAGTGAAGAGGAGCGAATCAGCAGCTGTATCAACGATAGTGAATCTGGCGGAGGGAGCGAGGGAAGGAGTCAAAGCTCCGAGTTATGCTGTCCTCAGCATCTGCAAATCCCTCTTCGCAGGTGGCGTCGCTGGTGGAGTGTCAGTTTCCTTTTTCTCTTCATTTCGACAACACCAAATCTATATGAAAGATGACAAAACTTTATTGATGTCTGGTTGCTGACAATAAGTGTAGTAGATCAGTCACTTATCGTTGTTAAATTTAGAGATGTACTTGATCTACTGTGTGTGATTGACAAAAGAAAGAGCAGTTTGGTTTAATATCTGAACGGATGTTTTGTATTTAGGTCTCGAACTGCAGTTGCACCTCTGGAAAGGATGAAGATATTGCTTCAGGTTTTCCTCTGCTTTCTTGGTCTTTGGAGCGTGTAAACAATGATTTGGATGACATAAAACCCTTTTCATTCTCAAATACTTTTAGGTCCAAAATCCACATAACATAAAGTATAGTGGGACAGTCCAAGGGTTGAAGTATATTTGGAGAACAGAGGGCCTTCGTGGTCTCTTCAAAGGAAACGGCACCAACTGTGCTCGTATTGTTCCTAATTCTGCTGTCAAGTTTTTCAGCTATGAGCAAGCTTCCAAGTAAAACCATACTCTCTTCTCAAATTTATATATTTCCGTCTAACCTATGCTCTCTCTCTCTTTTAGGGGTATACTGTACATGTATCGTCAGCAGACTGGAAATGGTCAGTTGATTTCAGCATAAGACTTTTATTTTTCTTCTAATTCCTTGTTGATCTGTGCATTATATTACCTATCACTTTAGCCTTTAATTTCAGTTGCTATGTTGAACTCATATCACTAGCCTTTCACATCAATGGTGCAACAGTGTTATGTTCATAAGATTGTATAATTCGTGGGTTTATGCTGTTTCTGTAGAAAATGCACAACTCACTCCTGTTTTACGGCTTGGAGCTGGTGCAACTGCTGGAATAATAGCCATGTCTGCAACATACCCCATGGATATGGTTCGTGGAAGGCTAACTGTCCAGGTAACTTTTTAAGTACACCCCAACTTTGCCTCATTGGTCATCTTTGTTAACTCTGCAAACATTGATGACTCGTGCTCAGACTGCGAACTCTCCTTATCAATATAGAGGAATTGCCCATGCTTTGTCAACTGTCCTGCGAGAGGAAGGTCCGCGTGCCTTGTACCGTGGTTGGCTTCCATCTGTGATTGGAGTTGTAAGTCACATTTCTCTTTTCCTCAGTCTAACATCAAATTTATTCATATCATTGAGAGCCTTGTGATAAATGCAGGTTCCTTATGTGGGTTTGAACTTTGCGGTCTATGAGTCTCTAAAGGACTGGCTAGTTAAAGACAACCCATTCGGACTAGTGGAGCACAATGAACTGACCATTATAACGAGACTCTCTTGTGGTGCTATAGCTGGAACAGTTGGTCAAACAATTGCTTATCCACTGGATGTGATTCGTAGGCGAATGCAAATGGTGGGGTGGAAAAGTGCGTCCTCTGTTGTTACTGGCGAGGGGAGAAGCAAGGCTTCGCTTGAATACAACGGTATGCTTGATGCATTTAAGAAAACAGTTCGTCATGAAGGCTTTGGAGCATTGTACAAGGGTTTGGTCCCCAACTCAGTGAAGGTTGGTTTCATATAACAAAACCCATTTCTCTTTTGTGTTTTTCTGATAGATTAAACATAAGTTCTCAAGAGTGTTATGGTTGTGTTGGTATAGGTTGTACCATCAATTGCGATTGCTTTTGTGACATATGAAATGGTGAAAGACGTTTTAGGAGTTGAGTTTAAGATATCAGACTGAGTCATTTTGATGATATCTTCAAGAAGACAGCAGCACACGTTCTATTTTTGTAGCCGAGAAGACAGAAGAGAAGCTCGAAACTTAGGGGGTTTTTGATTATTCTTCTTTCAGCATCCGTTGCTATAGGGCTTTAGCCAAACTTTATATTTTATCTTTTCGTTCTTTCTATGTATAGATTGAGTTTTGTTCTGAAAATCAAATAAGTGAGAAGCCAACTAGAGCAAAGCCTATTTGCTACTACTGAGAGTTTGTGTTTTTACAGGTTTTGGTTGTTGTCTTAATTTTCCATTATTGTTATGACTCTTATTGGTAACTTGTGGATTAGTTGAATAATTCATGTATGCTAGTCTCTAAAGTGTTTCTGAAGAGTGCATGCTGTTTTAATGACCTATTGAAGAAATGTGTAGCGTCTTTTCTGAAACAAACGGCACATGGTGTCATTCAAGTGAACGTAAAGCATGAAACAGAACATACCTTCCTTAGTTATATGTTTGAACAACTCTGAAAACGAATGTGTGAGTACATTTATATTCCCCTAAGATGCATATTTATAACCAGTCGAATTTAAAATGATAAAAAACGCTTTAACATTGGATCGCAAATCATTTACTGTAAAAACAATTAGGGAAAAAAAAACAGATACAGTGTCTTTCGTGAAGCTGAACACACTTGCGAGTCAGTATAACGTTCGGATGAATCTTCGATGGTAAATGATACATCCAATCATCACTATTGCTTATGAGTGCAATTTAATCCTGCAAAGAAACAATTTTATTCAACACGAATCAAACTAATTTACACTAAACATTAATTATGTACCATTTAAGCATTGTGATGGTGCATTTAGCCATCTGTTTATCAAGCGACTGTAACGTCGCACCACCACCGCAACTGAGACTAATTTCCACCGTAACAATCTTACGCCTTCCCACAGCCAATCCCACCTTCGTCTTAGCAGTCACCTTCACCACCAACTTCTTACTCTTCATCTCCGCTCGAAGCCTCTTAACCGTCGGATCATCCACCTCTTGTCTCTTCACTTTAACCGGAACGATCACGACCGTGCGATTCCCCGGCTTTTGCACAAACCCTTTGACTTTCGTTGACCCTAGACTCGTCTCGTAATCTCCATCTCCATCTCCTATGCTCACCGCCACGTCAGCGTCTCCGTAATGGTACCTTAGCTTACCATTTGGGTTTCTGAAATCGAGACTGGCCGTAGCCTCCGCCGTCAAATGGGTCAAACCGTCGCGGGGTTTCCCGTCGGAAAAGTCGAAGTTGCTGAGGCGAAAGGAGGCGAGGCGTACGACGGGGAGTCTCGGGCTGTACCAGAGGAAGAAGACGGAGAGGGTGATGATAAGGAGGAGGATGAGTATAGCGAGGGTGATGCAGAAGCAGCAGCACAAGACCCGGCAACGACTCCACTTTTTCTTCTTATCTGGGTAAAAGGACGGTGGGATCATATACTTAGGAGGGCGGCGACGAAGCGTTGAAGATGATGATAATGCGTTTGGAGTTTCGGGAGGCGCGTGAAGCTCATGATAACCAGGTGGTTTCTGAAGCACCGGTTTAAGGAACATCTCCGCCCCCGCCATGGGATTCGTAGGACTTGTCTGATAATCTTTGTTATTCTCTATCAAGTATTAGTCACAAAAATGACTTTATCTATCATCTTCCGTAAATAAAATATTTGTTTATTAAATGTTTGTATGTACTCCTACCAGCAGAAAGAACACAAATAGATTTTCCAGACACTTTGGCCACTTACTCAAATTATTCAACTGATGACGTACGTGCCCGTTGGCTCAACGTGTTTTACCGATGAAAATATAACCAAACTAAGGGTAACATATATATATATATAAAATGTGCATATGGTGTTAGTGTTATCTTAACGTAGGTGTTGGTAAATTAGCTGTCAGAAAACACAAACACTGTCGGCACGACTCAAAGTTTTACTGGTTGAGGGAAGCACGTCGAGATATAGGAGTTCTACAATAATTCTATGAGAAAATCTATATTATAATAGTTAACTTTAAAGGCTCCTAAAGCTGTCCACGTCAGCAAGTTTACGGGCCCCGCATGTATGTTATTAGGAGAAAAATAATGTAACATTGCATATCATTGATGAATGACGAAATGACCCAGTGGTGTAAGTTGATGACGAGAAGTTTGTTTTGCGAGTGCAGGGTTCGAAATGCAATGCATACCATTTTTTTTTGTTTCATTTCGGCTTTTCGTTTGTATTTGGACTGTAGGGTTTGAATTGGGCTTTCTTGTTACGAGACCCATGAGCTTAGGTTTTCTCTGACTCCAACTATAGACGTTTCCCCTTCCGACAAACAATTTCACTTTCGATCTAGATCCTTCGATGACCTTCAATGGTGTCCTAGATGTTTCCCTTTTTTCCTTTCATTTCTTCGCTTCCTCTCCATATTTTTTTCATAAACACGATTTGCATAATGATTTCATCAGGTTCTCAGATCCCTTCTGTTTTTGGCGTTTTGAGTTAACTAAGACGCATCACATACTACTAAGGTATCTTCTCTCTGATTTCTCCCTCCTTCAACTGGTTGAAGGTATCTTCATCTCTATATTTTTTCGCTTTTGTGTGTTGTACATAAATCCATAGGTTGAAGGAAAAAGCGAGCGTGTAATCACATCCCTCAAATCCGAGAAGGAAGAACTGGAGGCATGACTCAGCAAAGAGATGATATTAACTCTGCAACTAAAGGAAGAGTTAGCAGAGACTGATACGTGAAACATTGAGTTATACAAGGTGAATAAATAATACTATTGCCTTCAATTTGGTCCTACATTGAGTTACATCTGCTTTATGGTTCATACGAGGAGGGTATTATATAATTTTGCACCTGAATCCTCTTATATGCAGTTTTAAGGTCATACGTTTTTTTTTCTCCAATCAGGGAACATGTATTTAAACTCCAAACAAGGAACTAGATTCTTCTTTGACAACAACCTCCCTGAAATAATAGAGTTTCTCATCAGGTAAGAACATCATACTCAAGTTATAAAGATTTATCCTCTGTGTAATGGTAACAACATACTATATGCAGTGTGGGAGCTGCAACTTCTCAAGCTTTTACCTGCGTGGACACTCTAGAAGAAATCAAGAGGAAGGATCTTGTCTCAATTGGGGAGCTCAACGCCTTCATCTCCACCTCCAGTGTGCAGGTTGTCCTCTGACTTTTTGTACTTCTCTCTATTTGATACTATACTGTGTCAATGATTGGAACGGGCAACCGAAAAAGGGCATATCGAAACGGTGCAACCGAGTCCGTATCCAGGTGCAAGAGATTGTAGACAATATCTACAAACTGGGGTGTGTAGCTATGGACTTAAGTGCCGATTCAATCATCCTCCTCCTACTCATATTGCACCGGTGAGAAAGAAATCGATTTTTTAAACTTTCCGTCTTAGTAAAAGTTTCAGTCTCCTTAATGATGGTTTATTGCTGGGAAAAAATAAATTAAATAGGTGCTTCCACAGAGTGTTAGCCGTCAAAATTGTAAGGTAACAGTTCTCAAGACTGATTAAATATGTTTGTAACTTTCATTTAATAGGTGACAGGAATGTACAATAGATTCATGTTATCTGGTTTAGTACTGCTCTCATGGTTACTTTTGTTCTAAGTAACTTCCTTTTCTACATTGCAGTTTTTTTAAGAAAGGAAGTTGCAAGTACGGCTCAGGTTGTAGATTTACGCATTCAATGGGAGGGGATGGTGCAGAACCTATATTTATTCTTATAAGCCAAATGTAATAGACTTTAAACTTCCTTCTCCTATGTCTTTTAACGTTTTTATTTTAATTTGGTACTGAGGTTACAACTTGGGGTAAGAACTTTCATGAGAAGATACACGGAGCAAAGTCAAGGTCTAGGCCATGGAAGATGGTATTGTAAGTGAATGAAACAGAGAGTTATTGTTTAATAAATTAATTTCTTAGGCGAGAGATATTGTAAGTGAATGAAACAAAGAGTTATTGTTTACTCTGTTCTTACTTAATTCACAGGAAAGGCAAGATTATGATCGGGAGGAACAGAAACAGAAGAAGATGAAAGTGGAAAATCTGAGAATTGATCCCACTGCTCAATCCGGCGAAGGAGGGATTCAAGCAGAACATAGATTGGAGGTAAAGAACCAAAACCTCTATCGCTTATGATCATGAGTCTTTGAGTTAAGTTGGTTTATTTTCATGCAAATTAGATTCCAGAGAATAGCAACGTTAATGCTCAAGAGAATCTACAAGAGCAGGCAGATATAGAGAGGCAGAACAAACAGACTGAAAAGAAAGTGCAGGAGAAACCTAGACAACTGATAGATATTGCTAGGACACGGGCTCATAAAATACGTTAAGAACTTAAATGATGTTATGTTAAATGTTATACTTTATACTCATAAAATACTTTTAAGAACTGAAATGCAAACAAATGCAAAACCTGAACAGTTTTTGAGACACGTTCATGATACATAAATTTAATTGCTCATGATATTTACAGTTTCATTTGAATTAATAATACTACCCATCCGAACATCAATGACCAGGGAATGATGGGTAGGCAGCATAAATGACACTTTATGATATCTATCGTTTTACAAATTCACACACTTAAATCCAATTTAACAGTTTTTCATCTAAAGTTAGACTCAATGCCCACCACATTTCAAGTTCAGTCATTACTTTTACTTTTTATTGTGTTGGAATATAAAGCTACACCATTTAAAACTTTTGGGACCACGATTCGATTTTTTTTTGAAACCCCCCACAACATTTTAAACAAATATAGTACGCTCCTAAAATAAAATTTTTTATAGTTACATAATTATATTATTTATAGAATTATTACTCTATTTTTTTAAAAAAAAATTACAATTCCATATTTTCAATATCAGTCTCCAGTACATTAAAAAAAAAAAAACTAATTTACAGTTCTTATACATAATTAAATTTGAAATAAAAAACAATTTTTATAGCACTATTTGAGTTGAATATTAAAAAATACATAAGTTCGGTTACTTACGATCATGAAATCCCTAATAACGTGAATGTTAGAAGCAATAAATACAAATATGATTTACGAAAATATCAACACATGAATTCGCTAAACATTCTTCAATCGCTTTAATCAAGATGTGTAACTTCCGATCAAATGTGTACCATTTTAAATTTTCTTAGTATCCCTTAAAATAACGAATACAGTAAACTCCTAAAATAAATAGTTATATAACTATATAATTATAACAATTTATAAAATTTTATTTTATTTTAAAAAACTATACTCATATGTGTTCCTGATACATTTTAAAAATAAGGTATTTACTATACATATATGTTAATATATTTTACTATTTGAATTGTAGAATTTTGGTTATCTGTGTTCCGCTAATAAAGTAAATGTTCAATGAAATCTTTAAATATAGTTATATAACTGTAATTATACAAATTTATACAATTTGTATTTTATTTAAAAAAACTATACTCCTATGTGTTCCGGATATATTTAAAAATAAGGTTTTACTGTTCATATACGTTAATAAATTTTAAAATAAAATTTGTCTCTTTTCATTGCACTATTTGAGTTGTATGTTAAGAACTAATAGACTTCCAACTTCAAATGAAGAAAACCATACGTGAGTTAATAGACAGTCTTACTTGCGGCTATAATCTATTTTCCCTGCATTGATTAATGGCTTCGTAAAAATATAAGTTTTCCAGTCTGTCGGAAAGGTAATTTATGAGTTCATTTTAGATACTTTTAATAAGAAAAATTATCAGTTTTTAACCTTCTATGTCACTAATAAATATTTACCCCTAACCATTCTATTCAGTTTTGAAACTCAATACATTACAATTAAAAACCAAGTATATACACAATTAAAAATATCAACGCATTTGAATTCTCCAGTCATTTTAATATCAATTTAATCAAGTTTTGTAACTTAGAATGTTTCATTCATCACCATGTTAGACCGAAAAACAAATATTTAAAAAACAAACAACATAATCTCATGTACATGATTACACAATGCATCATCAACGTATCTGACCCCGCGCTTGCGCGGGGTGTATGCCACTAGTTACTAGAATAATATAGAAAAATTGGTATATAACTAAAATGATATACATTTTTTAAAGATTACTATAATGTTTTCAGACCCCTAAGAAATTACAATAAAAACCTTTGTTTAATTTTTTTGAGATTAATTTTAATTATCAAATCCACATCATTAATTAGGCAATCCACGTCACTAACTTATATGACACGTGAAAATCAACTGTCTCCATATTTCCGGTGAGTAGAAAAAAAAATCATATCGTCACAACTTTCTTTCTTCGTCGTTAAACCTTAGCTGTTACCCAAATCGTCTCGTCTCGAACTGTCTATGATATCGTCTTCGTCGAAAACGTCTTCGCTGCAAAAGTTTCTATGCAATCGTCTTCGTCGCAATCGTATCATTTTCCCCGGTATGTTGTGGCTTAGTCAAACTTATATTTAGACTGAGTTTTATTTATGATGTGGATGAGTTATATATTATCTTGTAATTGTGTTATTTTATATTGTGGCTGAGTTTGATGTACATTGTGATTTACTGCGGCTGAGTTATAGATTATGGTGTGGCTGAGTTATTGATTATGTTGTGGCTGAGTTTGTTGTATTATGGTTGAGTTATACTATATTGTGGCTGAGTTTTGTTTCTATTACGGCTGAGTTATGTATTATGTTGTGGCTGAGTTTGTTGTATTATGGCTGAGTTATACTATGTTGTGGCTAAGTTTTGTTTCTATCACGGCTGAGTTATGTATTATGTTGTGGCTGAGTTTGTTGATTATGGCTGAGTTATACTATGTTGTGGCTGAGTTTTGTTTCTATTACGGCTGAGTTATGTATTATGTTGTGACTAAGTTAATTTTTCTATTGCGGTTGATTTCTATATATGTGTTCTAGGATCAGATGGATGTTTCTGGAGATCAAGCACGAGATTATCCTCTAAGATTTTATGCTGAAGGGGCTCTAAAACCTAATATTCCTGACAATCTCCAGAAACCTAATAAAAAGCAGTTTGTGTTCCGAAGGACGAAAGACAAATACATTCCACAAAATGACCAAGTTGGCGATTCTGGAGTGTATTCATTGAAATTTGTGGGATGTTAGGCACTTGGCGTGACTTTTGATGGGATAAATGATAAGAATATTCAAGGTATACGAGTGAAGATGGCAGCAGATATCCTTGACGAAGGAAGAAATATGATGTATCAGCCGTATCGTTTTTATAAGCCAGCAGTATCTCTTTATATAACTCAGCCATACCACAAATGTACCATAATATCAAAAAAGTTTAATAAAACCCAGCCGTATCGTTTCTATAAGCCAGCCGTAACGCTTCATATAACTCAGCCATACCACAAACATACCCTAGAATAAAATAAAAATTAATTTAACCCAGCCGTATCGGTTCTATAAGCCAGCCGTATCGGTTCTATAAGCCAGCCGTAACGCTTCATATAACTCAGCCAAACCACAAACATACCCTAATATTGAAAATGTACTTTAATATGTTATTAGAAATTAATATTATCAATTTTAGATGAATATATAATCAACAGAGTGTGTATATTTCATTGAATTTACAAGTTTCGAATTGATCATGATCTTGAGGTATATGTTGTCTTACAAATACTTAAAACCTTATGTGTCTATATAGGTGTTGAACGCACCAAATACAAAGTATACCATATAATTTTTTTTTCAACCGAATTTGTGTAATTTCTTATATTTTATAGTGGTAACTAAACCATAAAACCTAAATCCTAAACACGAAACCCCAAATAATTTACCCTAAACCGTAAAACATAAACTTATCCTAAACATAACTCAGCCGTAACATGTCAATAACTCAGCCGCAAAGTGTACTTTAATCGCGACGTTTCGTATTTTTGGGCGGGAACTAAATACTTACGAAACACTGGGGTGGGCGAGAACATTACGCAACCAATGCCATTGATTGATTTTAATCTAAGGGTTCAAACTTATCATTTTCTCTATCTTCACCCTTCTTTATCATTGGTTAATCTTTCTTTTTCAAGGATCACAAAAATATGACCACTGATTAAATGAAATCTAAAGGTCAAAATTCATTCTTTCATTTTCTTATAATTGACGGGACTTAAACGTTTCATCACTCTCTTTGACTATTTTTTTCTTCTGAAAGACAACGAATCCGATGAGAGAGGGAGCATCAGGATGTCGGATCACCATACAAGAAGGAACATCAGGATGTCAGATCACCATACAGATACTGGAGGAAAGAAAGCTTCTTCGCTAACCAACCACCACCGAAGATGGCGACGACTATAATAGATCTATCTCCAATTTTTTTTTCTAGATCTATGTTGTTTATGCGACTGATAGGTCTCTTGATTCCTAATCTATAGACTCGTATTTTAGTTTTTCTTTTGCTTTCTAACTTCAATTTAAGTTTGGATGATGAATCTTGAACTTGTCAGAAGCTTTTTTGGTCGACTTGGTTATAACAAAGTCTTATTGTAACCATAACTCACCTTTGATTATAACAAAACTCAGCCATAATTTTATTATAACTCAGCTGTAACATAGGCATAACTCAGCCGTAAAATATGCATAACTCAGCCCTAACGTATGCATAACTCAGCTGTAATTTGATGAGTTATAACTCAGCCGTAACGTATGCATAACTCAGCCGTAAAGTATGCATAACTCAGGCATAACATATATATAACTCAGCCGTAATTTTCCTATAAATCAGCCGTCAAGTGTAATTTGTTTTGCGAAGTTTCGTATTTTGGGTGGAATATTAAAAATTTAAACCATTCTTAACTTTGAACCTCAAACCCTAAACTATAGAACTATAAAGCTATAAAATTACAAATTTATATTTTGAACATTAAATCTGATAATTTTTGTTATTTTAAATTTTAAAGGTTATGTATAGAGATAAGGTTTATAGTTAAGAGTGAAACTCAGCCGTAAAGTATGCATAACTCAGCCATAACGTATGCATAACTCAGCTGTAATTGGATAAGTTATAACTCAGCCGTAACGTATGCATAACTCAGCCGTAAAGTATGCATAACTCAGCCGTAACGTATGTATAACTCAGCCGTAACTTATGCATAACTCAGCAGTAAAGTATGCATAACTCAGGCATAACATATGTATAACTCAGCCGTAATGTTCCTATAAGTCAGCCGTCAAGTGTAATTTGTTTTGCGAAGTTTCGTATTTTGGGTGGAATATTAAAACTTTAAACCCTTCTTAAATTTGAACCTCAAACCCTAAACTATAGAACTATAAAGCTATAAAATTATAAATTTATCTTTTGAACATTAAATCTGATAATTTTTATTATTTTAAATTTTAAAGGTTTTGTTTAGAGATAAGGTTTATAGTTAAGAGTGAAACTCAGCCGTAAAGTATGCATAACTCAGCCATAACGTATGCATAACTCAGCTGTAATTGGATGAGTTATAACTCAGCCGTAACGTATGCATAACTCAGCCGTAACATATGCATAACTCAGCCGTAAAGTATGCATAACCCAGCCGTAACGTATGTATAACTCGGTCGTTAAGTATGTATAACTCAGACCTAAAGCATAACTCAGCCGTAACGTATATAAATGGTATAAGTCAGCAGTAACGTTCCTATAAGTCAGCCTTCAAGTTTAATTTGTTTCGCGACGTTTCGTATTTTGGGCGAGAATAAATCATTCATTCAACCTTGAACACAATATTAAAACTTTAATCTTTTCTTAAGTTTGAACCTCATATTCAGATGATGAAAATTCTGAGTCATTATACATATAAAATTAGCTTCCAAATTCATCATCTTCTTCGTATTTTCTTTTCTCCTACAATTTATGAAACTTAGATTTTTCATTTCTCTCTTTGACTATTTATTCTTCTGCAAGACGGCGAATTCGATAGGAGAGGGAGCAACAAGATGTCAGACCACCATACATGACACTGGAGGAGAGGAAGATTCTTCTCAACCGACCATCATCAAAGACGACAGCTGCAGTAAATCTGTCTCAGATTTTTAATTTTTTTTAATCTGTATTTTAGATCCAGTTGCCGAAAAAATAATTACCAGATCCATCAGATCTTAGAGAAAGATGAAGAATAGGATGAAGAAGATAAATAAAGAAGATGAAGAATGAAAAATAAGACTTTTTGTCTCTAACATAAATCCTTATTTTATCTTTTCAATGTTAGTAATGACATGAAAAGTAAGAGTTGATGACATGGAAAATTGGTACGTCAGCCACCAAACGAACACATAACTCAGCCTAAATAAACCAGCCATCAAGTACAACGTAAACCAGCTGAAACATGAATACTATTTAAGTAACTAATCTTTTGCTAATAAATCAGCCATAATTAGGATGGAAAATAATAAGTCAGCCGTATCGTCAAATGAATCAGCCGTCAAACGAATGATATTTTAGTAATTAATCTTTCGCTAATAAGTCAGCCGTAATTATGCTGAGTTTTGTTAATCCAGCCAGTTACAGCTGATTAAATATAACTCAACCGTAACAACTTCTCATAAGTCAACCGTAAATTTAATAACTCAGCCAGGCGATGTTCATTAACCCAGCCGGCGATGTTCATTAACCCAGCCGGCGAAACATAACTCAGCCATGTATTAACTACAACTCAGCCAAATTTTCCAGAAATCACACCGCCGATGTATGAGTCAGCCGTAACTTATGTACGTAAGTCAGCCGTTATCCCATAAATCAGCCATATTTCTATAAGTCAGCCATCACTAACGGCTGACTTATATTATTCTTAAGTCAGCCAATTTCTCTTAAGTATGCCGCGTTGTTTAACTCAGCCACAACATAATAATAATCCAGCTGTAACGACATTTATAGCGCTTTACGGCTGACTTAATGAAAACACGGCAGTGATTTCCTACGTGGCGTCGGATTTTTTCTTACATGGCATTAAAAAGTAATGAATTTTTGTAAATACGTTTTTGCACATAATATAATAAAAGGGCACGCTTGGTATTTAAAAAATGACGATAATAAAAAAAAAGTATTTGTATGGTTCTAGTTATTTGTCCTAAAATATATACTATTTGAATAAACTTCCCTAATTCTATACGCTTATAGAAGTAAACCTATCTATCATCACCAATCATCAAGTGGTCGCAGATCAGATCACACTCTGGAATCTCTTCTTCTTAAGATATTAGATCAATTTCTGCTCACAATGCGGAGAGCTAGCTACATAATGCTATTGAATTTAAATTTATAAGATCAGTGTTTTAAAGTTCCTGGTTCGAGTTCCTCTTATTTTTTGTTCATTTCGCTCTTGTATTATCCTCATAAGTCGTAACATATGTATCATAAAGACGAGATCAAAGGTTTGTTCTAGAGTTGGGCATAAGGCGAGTTATTCGCTATTTTAGGTGTACTCGATACTTAACTTGTTTTGTCCGAGTAATATAAATTTCGACTTGACACTTGTTAAAAAAAGGTACTTAGTATTTTAAGTATTTGATAAAAAATGAGTGACTTACAAGCAGTGCCGACCCATTAAATATGAGGATCAGAAATTTTTAAAATATTTGGGGACGTTTGAAGGTTGAACTCCCTACCTTTGAAACTATATATGGCAATCACTACCATTATACTATAGGTAAATTATTGTTTATTTTCGGCCGGTAGAATACATATAATTTTTCGGACCGGAAGCTTCAGCTTGTAATGCTTAGTGTCAGGGCCGTTACTCCGTACAAGTTAATTATTCTGCTATATTACTTGTTATTTGTGAATACTTATAAATTATTTATGAGTAATTTTTAGTGTTTAAAAGTTACATATTAAATATTACTATTTAGAAATGAACATGAAAGTTTTGCTTGCAAATACAAAAATTTGGTTACTTAATATTCGACTTGACGAGAAGAATACTTGAAAAATTAAAACTAATATGAAACAAGTAACAAATATAAAACGAGTAACGAGTAATTGTACTCAAATTTAAATGTAACTAAAAGAAAAGATAAATATTATCAGCAAATAAAAAAATATTTAATAGAATATGTGAAAAATAATAAATAGTGGAGGCAAGTAACAAATTAAATATTAAAAGTTATGATGATACTTAATATTTGTTTTGGTCTTGCAAGTAATACAATTTGATTTGTTACCTGTTTTTATAATGTGTAATACTTAATTTTTCAAGGCGAGTATGAGTCAAATAGTGAGTTTAAAGAGTAACGAGAGTAATGATCCCTCCCCAGCCCTAGTAGGGCTGAGATTTTTAACCGGAACCGTTTACCCGAACCGGTTCCGACTTGAAATGGACCGGTTTGGTTCGGATTCGGTCTTAGTCAATTTATCCGATAGGTCTTAGTGTTGATTACCATGGGTATCGGGTCGGTTTTGGTTTTTACCTGGAACCGATCGGGTACCCGTTTAAACAGGGTTATATGCTTAAAAAAACACAGATTTGTATCTCCCAAGGGTCAAACTCGGGTTAGATATGCAAAGTGACATAAGTAATGCCACTATGCTACTTCAACGAAGTTGTACCTAACTACAGATTATTAATATACTAGGGTCGGTCCGCCCTACGGGGGTTATATTTTACTCGGAAACAAAAAGAAAAAGACACTAGTCTAATATTTAATCGTATATTTAAAGAGAATCCTGGACAGCAGTCCTTCGCAGAACTTCTACATGTGCAGAGCCAAGTAAATTATAAAGTTTTCTTTTAATTTTTATATACTATAATCTCTGTATACTTTATAACATTTAATATCTGCACTTGCCTCTTTAATAATCTTCATGTACTTAAAATAACTTCATCCATTGCCATAGAAAACCACAAAAACCTCTCTAGTTACAAATCAGAATTGATCCCTCGACTTAAGATGAAGAGCACAGCAAACCTGCATTAAGCAAGCCGTAAGTGAGATGGATGGTTAAATGTTGCAGTGAGTAAAGTAAAAAATCAACATAAAACAATTGTGATTTTACCTTATGCATCTGAAAGAGAAATTCATGTGGACTCATTAAAAATCAACCATTAGCGTTTCCTCACAGAAGCTAAAGAGCAATTTTAGAATCAATGTGCTTGTTTAGTTTGCTGAAACAGATGGATAAAAATATCATCTGCAAGAAATACAGTAACACATTCATCAAGCTACAATAGTAAACTAATTATTAGTCTGAGAAACACTTCACATAACTGCAATGCAAAATTCAATAAAAAATTTTGTTCCACAAAAATTCCTCATAAGATTGTTATAATACTCTTAATCATCTGGAGAATCAATTTTATGGATTCTTTTATTCTACAATATAAGTGGATGGTAATGAAGTATCTGAAACGTAGAAAAAAAAAATATTACAGATCTTTATAAATAAACATGAACATGATTTCAAATTTCTAGGCGATAAACTATAAAAAAAAGAAGCTAATTTATAATATACAAAACTGGTGAATTTGATTTGTGAAAACAGCTTGAATCGGAGAAGAAGTGGTAGGTCTAATACATGTATTTTACAAAATTAAACAATATAGAGAAGAATACAATAGGAGATGAAGAACATAATCTTAGCTTTAAAGATAAGACATTGTTTTGAGTTTTCAACCATGAAACAAAAGTTGCTGTGAAAAAATTACAACATATAGTTGGGAGTGTCCACTTGAGACCCATCAAAACTTTTGTGACCCAACCAAAACCGGACCATTATTATAGTTAACTAATGATGAAATGTTGACGATACAGTATGTCTTCTTTATGAGCTCTCTCCCTTTATTCATGTTAGAGGCCGCACCAAACCTAAGAATTCAGGCGTTAACCGTGTTGGCACAACAACAAGCTTTCAAGTCAGAGAACATAAGGTTCAAGGTGGCCATTAATGGTGTGTGGATTTGAAAGGAGCTGTAATGATGAGTAGCAGGAGGCTTGAGTTTCAGGGAGATCCTTAAAAAATTTCCTCAGTAACCACAGAGTTTGCTCATGAGTGAAAATGCAGTTGCAACAGCTAATCAGTACACTTCATCTTTGTTAAGCATTTCAATTAGAAAATTAGACAATTACACATGATTTTGACCTGAAACGGGTATGTAGGCGTAACATCTAAAGGACACTCCTACAATATATCATAACTTTATCAGACAATGAAACATAGATCATGTCGAGATTCAAAGAAAGAAGCACGTACCCAAACAATCTCTTGTATGTCTCAACATCAATCTATAGTGTTGCGATACTTCTTCAGCATCACCCATATTTATACTCAAATACTGAGTAAATCCCTGGGCAAAAGACAGAAAGAAACAAAATCAAACCTAAGAGGACAACTTATAAAGAGCCTGAAGTATATTCTCATTAAACCTTCAAGCTTCAAAGTGACACGGAGGAAACAAAAGGATGTATTTCTCAGAATAGCATATACTTGCCTAACCAAGTATTTTTCTTTTATCATTCCTAGGGCAGTTCCACCTTGGCCATGAGCTCAAACAATATCTGGAATAATAAAATAAATAGCATTGATCCAAAACAAAAAAGATGACACCTGTCGACTAAAATTAAGTAAAACTGACGTATTAATGAAGAACAAAGAAAATGGACGAACTCATCTCCATTTCTTCGCGTAGTTACTAATTAGGGTTAGAGATGCTTCCATGTACTCTGGTGCAAAAACCATCATACTCTAGAGCCCAAATACGATAACAGACGGGTAAAGATCAAACCCCATCACATTCATGGATAAATGAAACGATGAGTTTCATCCTTTTGGGACACGTGTCAGCACAAGAGAGCTCAATTTATCTAGCTAGATACTGATGTAGAGGCCTTGAGAACAAGTTGACTCTAATAATATATGGAGGAGGACCATTGTTGCTGTTTGGTTATCTTCCATTGTTGTTGGATCAACTCTGTTCCTTTGGTAACTAAACAATCTTTTAACCTTTTAAATTATCAGAGAAACACTAGTAAAAATATAGCACATAGCCACTGAAAGTTAGTGGCTATAGAGTTAAAATTCGTGGCTATAAAGAAACAAGCCACGTTTCTGGAAAAAAATATTACCGTGGCTATAGCTTCGTGGCTGAAAGAATACCGTGGCTAAACGTGGCTAGAAGCCACGGTTTTCCCACGCACATTTACGTGGCTACGTAGCCACGATTAGAATTAAAAAGCGTAGCTTTCTACCGTGGCTAGTATAGCCACGCTTTTCCCACGTATCTTTTCGTGGCTATATAGCCACGATTATAATTAAAAAAGATAGTGGCTATTATAGCCACGGTTTTCCACTTTTTTAGTGTGGCTACATTAGCCTCGGTTAATTTCAGCTAGTTAAAATCAAAGTTTTTTTTTAAATTGCCAATTTTGTAAATGGCTTCTTTTAATTAGTTTTTATTTGCCAATTTTGTCAATTTATATTTCCATCCAAATATTTAAAATTGCACTCAATAAAAATAGAACTTGCAGTTATATAAAATAGTAGGTTCAACATTAATAAAACATGCATAATTATACAATGGGAGAGTTTTAAAGAGTCTAAAAAGACTCTACAAAAGACATTCTAAAGAGTCTATAAGAAGACTCTTACCAAAAGACTGAGTTTGATAAGTTTGTTACAAAAGAGAAGGATGAACTACATACTTCTAAATGCCATCGANAGACTCTACAAAAGACATTCTAAAGAGTCTATAAGAAGACTCTTACCAAAAGACTGAGTTTGATAAGTTTGTTACAAAAGAGAAGGATGAACTACATACTTCTAAATGCCATCGACAGTTTAAGGCTGAGTAGTTGGGGACTGAGGCTGAGCAGAAGTCTGTCCAGTTGCTTGTTGGGGGCGCATTGTTTGGAGGAACTCATTGATCGCATCTCTCATCTCAGACACGTCCTGCCTCATGACAGACACGTCCTGCTTCACCCCAGCAACATCAGCAGTGACAGTTTTGAGGGTTGCCTCAACACCCCCGACACGCATCTCCAACTCCAGATTGCGGGCAAGACCATTAGGGACACGAGACGAAGGTGCTTGCTCCCTGTATTGGACACTTCCCAGTCCATAAACATTCCCCTTCTTAGTCTTAGCTTTCTGTGAGAGAAAAGGCAAAACATTCAAAACCAACACCAACAAATCAGACTGTAAATAAACAGCTTTGGTTCTCTTAAAAAAATTAAGAGCTCTAAGTCATATCTAATTTTAAAACAGTTAAGAACTATTTTAAATCACATTCTTAGCAGCTCTAAGTCATATCTAATTCTAAGATAGTCAAGAACTATTTTAAATCACATTCTTAAGCAGCTCTAAGTCATATAATTTCACATACAAATCAGAACATAAAACAATTAATAGAATTTAAATCTGAAGTAAGAATACCTTGAGATAAGCTTTGTTTATCTTGAGGCGATCAGGAGCAGATGATGTACTTGGACTCCCGGGTGATCCTTCAGTGT